GTTTCTCTCATATCAAACATCATTTGCCATTACTGATGAATGTTTCTTTGGAAGAATTCATAAGCATTTACACACATATGATTAAGAAAACAAACCAAAAGTTCAAAGCTTTGAACTGCTTAGCAAAAGATGCATTTCATAGAATGAGTATGTGTACAGGTTAAGTCTTCAGAAAGGTAATTATCCCTCATCTTAAGTACCTGCCATTGCAACTGTCCTTATTATTCCTAATTTTGTGCTTGACTGTCGGCAATTCCAGCTACTGAACTGATGAATTCAATTTACTCCTTCTACTGTTCTCCCTCTACTGGAATACTGATATATTTATGACAGGCTGTAAGGTATTTCACTAGAGGGAGCACGGTTAAGGAAAGGACTGCCTGTGATACCTCTTACGCAGAATAGAGCCCTGGTTCTGTCTGGAGAAGAAAGAAGGAAAGAGAGAGGTGTGGTCAGAGGAACTCAAGAGGATGTGAACAAAGGTTCAGCCAATTTTAGGAGGATATAAAGAAATCAAAGCCAATGTATTCCTAAATCAGTGGATCTGAATTTCTTGTTACTCAAATGACTTCAATCCTTTGGGGTTGATAATGGAGAATCTCTGTTACTAACCTTGTAATTTGCACAGATAAATATACTATAGTTACTGGTTTTCAAGTTTATTAAAATGTTATATTGGGACCAGTGCACCACCCTTCCCCCCCCACCCCAAATAAAAAGGCTTGTGTGGGGTTTTGCATCTTAGAAAAATTTTTGGCAGTTTCAGCCTTTTTACATTAAACTATATTTAAACACTGGAAAGATTAACTTTACTTTTTTTTGTACATTGTGATGCCTTTTGCCTTTAACAAAGCATTTTACAAGTGAATCTGCTGTGCAAAGAATCTTTTTTGTAAAGAGAGACCTTTTCACCCTTGGCACCTACTGGGAACATCCCTAAATTTGGATGGTGAAGTAAGACCATGTTTAAATACATCCTTGGAAGGGAAGAAATGCTCAGAACTTGGCATCATTTCACTTCTGACAGCCCAGTTCTTAAGCCACATTAATCTATTTGGAGGTGACAACTTTTTCATAAGAGCATTTTGAAGAATTAAATTTTTCCCCTACTTCTTACTTTTTTCATATCCTTAGCGAAATTACTATGTCGTGTTCACGTTGGTGCCTAGTAGAGCGCCTGCTATGTAGTAGGCAATCAGGAACTGTTTGATTAAATTGAATTCTCATTACTCAAGCCTTATAAAATATATGTCATTTAAATGTACAGACAGATACTGAAGTTCCTCAGAGCTATAAGATTTCATCAGAAGTACATTGGCAGAAGCACTGGTTGATGTCATACAAGGTACACTACTGTATTAAAATAAGATATTAAGTGAATAGAAATTGTATTGGCTGTTTTCTTTTTATAATTTTCGGGTGTACGGGAGGAGTATTTAGGTAAGAGGTCGTCAAGTTCTTTATTATGGCCTGGTAGGTAAAACTAAGTATTTGAGTTTCTGTTGTACTCTTGATTATAAGCTGTGTTTTTTGTACTGTACAAGAAACACTTTTTAAATGTTGCCAAAATTTGAATATCAGATGCACTTTCTCAGTTTACAGTTTACTTTTGTTGGTGACTCATTCCAACTATTAAGAAACCCGAAACAACTATGGATATCAGAAACTGCCTTTTCTAGGAAGAATTAGGACATTTTTATGGGTGAAGAAAGAGTGTGGTAAAATACTTTGGCTGCAGCAAAAGAAAATTGGTTGGGGAGATGCCCACAATTGCCTGTCTTTCTCTTGTCTCCACATCCTCTTGGTATTGAATTTCCCAGATAAGGATTAAGCTGAGTTGGTCAGTTTGATATGACACTTATTCATAGTGTTATTTCTGTTAAGCTTTGTATCAAGTGCTTTCAATGAATCTTTTTACGTGATTCTCCTGAAGAGGTCTGGCTTTATCTCCATTTTACAGATTAGGAAACTGAGGTGCAGGCAAGTTAGGTAACTTGCTTAAGTTTACATAGCTTGTAAGTGGAAGAGCCAATATCTGAACCAGCAACAGCAAGACTGGCTCCAGAGCCCTCCTTCATTGTCTTCATCTGTAAATTATAAATAACAACTTCTACCTTACACAATTGTGAATATTGAGATAATGCAGTGTGGTATCTAGCAATGACTGGCACCTAGTAAGTGCTCAATAATTGACAGCTGCTAGTAGTAATAATTTCCATTAATAACGGTTATAACGCTAAGAGGATACTTAGTATTTTTCATTTTGAGCCTTGTTATGTTTTCTGTATTACATCAAAAACTGTGAAAGAAAAAAAAGAGGTATCTAGCAGAAATTAGGATAGAAGTTGAAATAAATTGCTGTATTGATCCGCATTGGCTAGAAGTCACATTAGAGAATCTTGAAGTATTTTCATATGTAAAAAGAGAGAAATCAGCAATGTCTTGGAGAAGTGGGACTGTACTTCATGTTTGCCATTTTTCCTCTTGTTTTCATTCTCACCCTATGCTTTCAGGGATCAGAGGAGCTGTACTCAACAAACAGGAGCTCCCTTTGGTGTCTATACGCCTGGGTAGCCCTAAGCTTTTCTTTTCAATGGTAGCTCCAAATGCCATTAAAATCCAAATTTTCATTTATCTTAAATGTAGAATTATAAAATTCAAAGTAATAAATTGTGTACTTTAGGAAAACAGAGAGGTTGGGTTTTTTTCTAATTATACAGATTTTTCAGTGATTTGGAATGAATGAAAAAATTGAAAATCTGCACTGGGGACATCCAAGGTATGTTAAGAGTTGGGAACCCTATTGTTGCCAAGGGAACTGTATGTTTTACCTGTACATTTTTCTCATTGATCTCCTATGTAGAAAGTTAAAGCTTTAGAAATGATTTTTTAAAATTAAATCGTCCCAATCATTTCTGCCATTTTCTCTTATTTTGATAAGGACAGGAAGCATCCATAGTTTCTCTTTTTGGACTTGTTTGCATGCAATCTGGAAAATTTTTACACAATCATTTCTAAAATAAAAATTCATCTCGTGTGTATGTGTATACAGTATATAAAAGCTTTTAAATTTTGAACCTAAAACAAACCCTCTCCACTGGAGTCCTGACTTGTGTTTGGGTTGCAATAACATTTCCTTATTAATTTCTTTTTTTTTTTAATTTCACAGTTTATTTTTTTCTTCCATTTTTTCTTTGTGTGTGTGTGTGTGGTAAAACATATATAACATAAGCATTGCCTATTTTTCACTCTTAAACATTTTTATGTTTCTTCAAGTTGGACTTTGTATAGTCAACAGAGAAGTTGGCCACCTCTGTCACACCAGATGTTTGAGATTAAAAAACAAACAAAAAAATGAATAAGCCAGCTTCCTCCTTGCTTAGAGAAAGCACCTGTGAGCAAGCAGCTCTGACACACGTTGTTACAGGAGTAACACGTGTGTACCGCAGTGTGAAACATGATGATCAGGAATCATTGTATTGGTCTCAGGCTTCAAATTTTCATATCAGTTTTAGCTAACAGTAATAATAGCGACACATTGAAAGTGCTTGGTTTGTCCAATACTGTTCCAAGTACTTTGAATTCTTTAGTTCATTAAGGAGCCTTTTATTTTTTCCATTTGTATCCTATCATTTAAGAAAAAGCCGTGTGCGCGCGCGCGTGTGTGTGTGTGGTTAAGGAGCGTTCTAAGTTTTGTGGGCCAATGCTTAATTTAGTGAACGAAATCTGACAAAACAGTGTCTTCTAAAAATGTTTTCTAGAAATTCTGTACATTTTCCTAAACCCTGGGTTCTTGCGCAGCCCGAGAAGAGACGACCATAAAGAGCAACGTGAATTATAATGGAATCATATTTTTTAAATGGCAAGCTTTTATTTTCGGGGTGAATGAATCACTTCTATGAGCGATGGAAAGGGAAACAGAAATTTGGGGTTGTCTCCAAAACATGTAAACGGATTAAAGATCACCTCGGTCTCTCTCTTCCACTCCCTCTTACACTGATTTCAGGGTCCCCTCATTGCTTGATAAGAAGTTCAAATCCCCGGGGCGCACCCTGTGATCCCCAGTTGTGGGTATGGGCGCATATATGGGAGGCATCGCGCGCGCACAGGGCTGCGGGCTGACACCTGGGCCAACACCTGGGCGGCATTTCCACGCCTGCCCGTTGTTTCCTACATGCCAGGCGCCCGCTCGGCGGCGGCTTCCCATTCATGCTTTTGACAACTGCGCGGCCGCCGCGAGCCAACAGCGCAGTGCCCCCAGCCCCAGCCCCTCTGTCCCCCGACGTCGGCCCCTGGCGGGAAGGCCCAACGGCGAGGACACTTGGTGGTGTCCCGGGGCTGGCAGGCTCCTGCATAGGTGGCTGCGTTTCCGACTTCGCCCTGGCTCCACTCCGGGGGCTTGACGTGCAAACTTCGCCGGAGCAAGCCGAGAGGGAGGGACCGGTGTGGGGGAGGAGGCGGCGGGAGGCGCCTCCGCTTAAGGGAGCCGGCCGGGTGCCGCCGTTCGGACGGACGCGCAGACGGAAGGAAGGAGCGGGGCCGCCGGGCCCGGCCG